AAATTTGTTTTTATTTATTGAATCTGCCCTGCCTAAGAGCCTAACAATAAGTTTTCGAATCTTAATCTATTCACTTAATTTACATCCCCTAGTTGGGATGAGTATTTTCTTAACTGGCCCTAAGAAAAGATTACGACTGGGCTGGTAAGTCATTCCTACGTAGTCTTGAGGTCCTATTGACACGCAATAAAGATCTTGCTAAATGATTTGGGTGCGCTAAAAGCTTCGATACATATTTCGTCTTCCGTTGTTCTATTTCGGTTCGTACTTCTGGTATTCTCAAGTCGCGGTGAATGTTCTCATTTCGCATATACCAAGGTGCTCCGGTGATTGTTCGAAGGATTTTAGATTGCGCACGACGAAGGATTTCGATGTTGCTGCTGCTCGCGTTTCCCCATAACTCACATCCATAGGTCCATATCGGTTTTAAAACTGTATTGTAAATAAGCACTTTATACTCCAGACTCGGGGGTGAGCGAGAGTTAATAAGCCAGTGGAGAGAATTAGCCTTCAGCTTGAGATGAGTCCTTTTAGCCACTATGTGGTTTCGCCAAGTAAGTCGCCTGTCCAGGTGGACCCCTAGGTAAGTGACATGATTGCTTTGTGGTACTTGTACGTTGTTTAAAGTCAAGGGCGGACAGTTACTCTTATTCAGTGTAAATGTAACTTGCTTACATTTTTGCTCGTTAACCTTTATTCGCCAGTTTGCGAGCCAATTGGCAACAGCTTCCATATGATTGCCTAGGAGCACAGTTGCTTGTAGAGGACACTTGGAGCGACTGATTATGGCAGTGTAGTGATACACATTACTTGTTAAACACTTGTTCTTAAAATACTTTGAATTATGAAAATATCTTGTTACATTTATTTATGTACGATCAATTTTGAGTTGAAAATTCTTGTTTATCATTAAATAAACTTTCTACGTGATCAAACAATAAAGAAAATCTATAATTAAATATCAGCTAATGCTATATTGGCGATCCTGCCAGGAGCCATATCTCAAATTCGATAAATGTTTGCATTCCCCTGTCACGCAAACCTTCTGCTTACGCTTTTGGAGGAATTATTTTTTTTGTGATTTGAAGGCCAGAATTTGCTCCTGAGTCAGAGGCGTGAAATCCGCAGGATTTTCGGTGCATTGAAAGAAGTTCAGATCATCAACCTCCTACAACTCAATACAAAGCGGACATTCAACTACGTCTTCGTTGTTATCTATATCTTTGGAGATTAAATATTTCAACCAAACATTATCTACGCAAACTGTTAACGCTACAACGCTACAACGCAAACCCAAATATATATACATATATATCCAGACGGATCAACACCAATGCTACCACCTCCTCAACAGCAGCAGCAGTAACAACAACAACGGCGAGACATTCAGCATTCAAACCGTCATCAAGCAAAACATCTAAATAGATAAGTTTATGTTAACGTAGTTTAGTTGTGTTAAATTTTACACTCAGACAATTTTATTTTATTTTTAAATACAAAAAAAAACAGTTAATTTTTTGTAAACCTTCTTCCAATATGTTGCGTTCTCCTCAAGAAAAAGGTGCTGGGGATAGACTTGGTAGGTCTCTGATTGATATTGAAGATCCCTGTGAGGTGTCACAAGATAATATACGTAATCCGTATGACAGGTCTGAAATTTGTGCTACTTCGGTAAAATTACCACAATTTTGGTCTAACTGTCCTGAAGCATGGTTCGTGCATGCCGAGATGCAATTTGCTACAAAGGGAATTAGTAGGGATTCGACCAAGTACGAGTTCGTTATAACTGCCTTGCCTCAAGAAGTTATTGCGAATGTACTTGATGTTATACAAAATCCACCTCAGACTGAGACTTATGAAAATTTAAAAAAAGTTCTCATTGACCGACATTCTTTAAGCGAGCAGAGAAGACTTGATAAAATTTTGTCAGATACTGAGATAGGGGATCGCAAACCTTCCGAGTATTATAGGACCCTTGGTCAGTTAGCGGGTAGCACTATAGACCCGATTTTCTTAAAAAATATTTGGTTGCGGAAACTACCTAAAAGTTTGTATGTTGCATTAACCAGCGCTAATTTAAATAATATTAATGATCTCTTGCAACTCGCTGATAAAATTTGGGAAATTACCAGTGGTAGTGAAATTTGTGCTGTTAAAAGTAAAGTACTTACTTCTTCAAATAATTTTGATGACTTAGGGAAAATTGTGGAAGATTTAGCGAAGGTTACGACGAAAATGTGTGAAAGTTTTAATCGTTTGCAGTTGGACATTAATGAGATTAAAACGCAAATATATGATAGACCATCACGATCAAGAAGGAGGTATTTTAGTAATAATAAAAATTCCCAGTCACGTAGTAAGTCTCAATCTAAAAATTGGGTCTGTCGGTACCATTTCCGTTTTGGTAGTAAAGCACGTAAGTGTGAAGAACCGTGTGCCTTTAAAAGAAATAATTTTGACTCGACAAACTAGGACATGCTGTTGTTGCAGCGACTAACAATGGCAATTTGAAATTTTCAACACGTCGCTTATTTGTATTAGACAAAGAAAGTAAGCTTAAATTTTTAATAGACAGTGGTGCCGAAATTTCAGTTCTTCCTTCCTCCAAATTCAAAATTCACAAACGATCTTCCGACATTATTTTAACTGCTACAAATGGCAGTATGATTTCGACCTATGGAAAGAAATTATTAAATGTTAATTTGGGACTTCGTCGGGAATTTCCGTTTATATTTCTTATTGCTGACATTTCTAAACCCATCATAGGGGCAGATTTTTTAGGGAAGTATGGACTCTTAATAGATATAAAAAATAAGAGGTTAATAGATCCCTTAACTAACTTGTCTGTCGACGCAATATCTGCGTTTTGTAATATCTCTTTGCCAAAAATATTTTCGGTTGAAAACCAATATACAAAGCTTATAAAGAATTTTCCTTCATTAATTTCTAAACCAGATTATAACAAAAAAGTTGAGCATTCGACAGTTCATCATATCATAACAAATGGAGTATTACCATTCTGTAGCCCGAGACGCTTAGATCCAATCAAATACAAAATAGCAAAGGCTGAATTCGATTTTTTACTGAAATCCGGGATATGTCGTCCATCTAAATCCCACGGAGCATCGCCACTGCACCTGGTACCTAAAAAAGACGCAACTGACTGGCGTCCTTGTGGCGACTACCGAAGAGTTAACTTGATCACGATACCCGACCGATATCCGTTACCACACATTCACGATTTACATATTGAATTTCAAAATAAGAAAATATTTTCAAAAATAGATTTAGTTAGGGCGTACCACCAGATACCAGTTGCAGAGGAAGATATCCATAAGACCGCTATAACCACACCATTTGGAATGTTCGAATTCGTCAGGATGCCTTTTGGCTTACGAAATTCAGCACAAACATTTCAAAGATTCATAAATGAGGTGTTACACGATTTAGATTTTACTTTTGTTTATCTGGACGATATATTGATAGCTAGCAAAGACGAAGCAGAACATTTAAAGCATTTAAATATGCTATTCCAGCGTTTAGATAAGTACGGTTTGAATATTAAGCCATCTAAATGCATTTTCGGAGCAGAAAAGATCAGTTTCCTAGGGTATAACATATCATCCGAGGGTATACAACCATCAGAGGAAAAAGTCCGATCTATTCTTGATTTCGGTCAACCAATAACTATCAAACAAATGCAGAAGTTTGTAGGAATGATGGACTTCTATCATAGGTATATACCAAAACTTGCCGCAATGCTTGACCCAATATATAGTATGATAACAAAAGCATCGAAGAGCAAAGATAAAGTGCTCCAATGGACTGATGAATCAGTATATGCATTTAAGCAAGTTAAAGAGAGTTTTGCTAGGAAAACACTGTTAACGCATTTCAACAGTAATGCAATTCTGTCTATTGCTGTAGATGCATCGAGTAGAGCTATTGGGGGTGTTCTACAACAGGAAGTTAAACATTCTAAGGAACCGCTTGCATTCTTTTCAAAGAAACTAAGCCCGTATGAATGTAAATATAGTACTTTTGATAGAGAATTACTTGCTGTTTATTTAACTATTAAGCATTTCAGGCATTGGTTAGAAGGTAGATCTTTTGCAGTATATACAGATCACAAGCCGCTTACATTTGCTATGAACTCAAAAGCTGAGAGAAGCCCAAGGCAAACCAGACAGTTAGAATTCATATCTCAATTTACTAGTGATATTAAATACATAAAAGGAGATTTAAATTTTGTTGCAGACGCATTATCGAGGATTCCTGAAGTTACAGCATTAGAAGCTACTGACCTGAACTTACGAAGATTATTTGATGAACAAAACAAAGATGAAGAAATTAAATTATTAATATATGATCAAAATTGTAGACATAGACTAGAGTTAATAGCAATACCCTCTTTAAATATTCAAATTTGGTGTGAAACGTCACTTAGTTCAACAAGGCCATATGTCCCGCAAATGTTACGAAAATTAGTCTTTGAGAAATTACATAATATAGCTCATGTAGGTGTTAAAGCAACACGTCGGTTGATCACAAGTAGATATTTTTGGCCAGGGATGAACAAAACTATAAATCAGTGGACAAAAGAATGTGTTAACTGTCAAAAATGTAAAACTTATAGACATACAAAATCTCAAGTTTCGAAAATACCAATTCCAAAAGGACGTTTTGAGCACATACATTTGGATATCGTTGGGCCTCTTCCCTTATCACACGATTTTAAATTTATTTTAACTATTATCGATAGAAATTCCCGTTGGCCAGAAGCATATCCACTTCGAAATATTTCGGCGGAAAATGTTGCAGAAACTTTCTTCCGCGAATTTGTTTCACGTTTTGGAGTTCCACTGACAATTACAACAGATCAGGGCACACAGTTTACTTCTCAGATTTTTACTGAACTAACAAAGCTTTTAGGAAGTCATAAGATTACAACCACTGCCTACCATCCGCAAGCTAACGGAATGGTCGAACGTTTTCACAGGCAACTAAAGGCATCAATTATGGCTAGTGGAAACGCAAGCAGATGGTATGAGGAGTTACCTATAGTATTGTTGGGTTTGCGATCATCCTACAAAGAAGACATTCACGCTACAGCAGCGGAGATGTTATACGGCGAAAATTTAAGGCTTCCTTCGCAAATGGTAGTTCGGTCTGAAACAAAATTTGATTCATCTGATGTACTGAATAAATTAAACCAAAATCTCAAAAATTATGAATCGAAAGTATGTCATCATAAAGATTCACTTGTTTATATTCCAAAAGATTTATATAATTGCAAATTTGTTTTAGTAAGAATTGATAGGAAAAGAACTGGTTTACAGGAACCATATGAAGGACCGTTCGAGGTTATAGGAAAGACACCGAAGTGGTTCAAAATTAATTATCACAACAAATTAGTAAATATTTCTATAGACAGAGTTAAGCCTGCATTTCTAGATGGAAGTAAACTTGGTTCATCCAGCAAGACGAAGCGAGTTACTTTTAATTTGTTAGATATGAAAGTTTTTGGAAGAGGGGAGTAGTGTAGTGATACACATTACTTGTTAAACACTTGTTCTTAAAATACTTTGAATTATGAAAATATCTTGTTACATTTATTTATGTACGATCAATTTTGAGTTGAAAATTCTTGTTTATCATTAAATAAACTTTCTACGTGATCAAACAATAAAGAAAATTTAATTTTAAATAACAAAATATCTTATTACGGTATATCGGACTAAATCTATAATTAAATATCAGCTAATGCTATAGCAGTGTCATCGGCAAAAGTGGACATTATCAGGCGGTCGTTTGTAGGAATATCCGCGGTGTATAAGACATACAACATCGGGCCAAGGACACTGCCTTGTGGCACTCCAGCTTCGATTGCATGGGCTTCAGAAATTGTGGTGTTACATCCATTATATTGCAGCGCAATATTCCCTCTTTTCAAACGCTGTTCGGATTTCGGTTGTTATGCGATTTACCTGCTCGATTGTTCCATGTTTTTCCCTGAAGCCAAATTGGTGAAGTGGTATTATATTGCGGGCTTGCAGATGTGGGGAGATGCGCAGCATAAGAAGTTTTTCGAATAATTTCGACATACACGGTAGCAGGCTGATGGGCCTATATGAAGATGGCTGCGTTTTGTCCTTTCCGGGCTTTGGTATCATCACAATAGTCGACTTTTTCCATTGGTGAGGGAAATGACAATGTTTAGTGATTGCGTTAAATAGCATACAGATGCAAAGTACAGCACAATTTGGTAGCTCAATAATCATTTTTTGGGGTTATTAAGTCGTGCCCTGGGGCCTTATTTGGTTGCAGTTGATCCTTAATTACTTTTGAAATTTCTTCAGGTACAAATTTCAGCGGCTCAAATTTTGACACATTGGGTATGGGTGGAAGTTGAAAATTATTATTTGCGGGGTTTGGCCTAAAAACATTTTTTAGATGAGAAGCAAAGGTGTTTGCTTTTTCTGCGTCACTCCGAGCCCATTTGCCATTGTGGTTCCGTACTGGCATTTCAGTCTCTATTTGCGCATTTAGCTTGTGGTGTGCTTTCCATAACGAGTGCTTTGTGCTAGTCGGTGAGAGCTTTTGGATGTACCGGTACTGTGCGTACTGTTCCTCGTTCTTGAGGGCTCTCGTCAGTGCATGTGTGGCCGCCTTGAGCAGTTGTTTTGATGCTGGTGATCTATGAGTCTGCCATATCCGTCGTAGGCGTCGTTTTTCCAAGACAAGCATTTCAATTTTCCTATTGGTTAAATTATATTTTTTATTTTGCACATAACCTTTCTGGGGTGTGGAAATGCTAGCGGCTGCTCTAAGTGTAGATTCAAGAGCGGCTATGGAGTTTTCAATATCGGTCGGCGTATCTAAATTTGGATCGAGGTCTATATGCGCACTGATGTATTTTTTATACTTTAACCAATTTGTAGCCCTTGTCGTGAGCATATAGGGTGACTCTTTTTCTTGCGGCTGATGCCACAAGGTGAAAAGTACAGGTGAGTGGTCTGATGAGAGATCTGCAACTGATTCTGTACTAATAAGGCCGCGAGGAATTTTCCTTGTCACCGCAAAGTCAATCAAATCTGGCAACTTTTGCGGGTATGCCGGCCAATATGTAGGCTTTCCAGGAGAAGCGTAATCGAGTTTGTTTCTTCTACATATAAGCGCGTTATATAATTGCTTGCCTTTAGGGTTGGACAAGCGTGAGCCCCAGTGAGGGTGCTTCGCATTATAATCACCTGCAGCAAGGAAGCGCTCTCCCAGCGAACTGAAGAAATCCATAAACTGTTTTTCTGTTATCGTGAAACGTGGGGGACAATAAACCGCGGACAGCGTAATATCACCTTGCTTTGTTTGTACGCATATTGATGTTGCTTGCAGATAATTCTCGGCAATTCCAGTCAAATGATGGTGTTTAATCCGGTTTCTGACTAAAATACCAGTTCCGCCTGCGCCTTTCCATCTGGATGATTCGTGCAATAAAAGGTATATCCCGAAATGTCAAAATGATATCTATTAGTTAGGTGTGTTTCAGCAAGGAGCATTATGTCAATTTCCTTGTCCTTAAGAAATTTTGACAGCTCTAGTTTGTGGCGAGGAATGCCATTTGCATTCCAGAGGGCTATTTTAAGTA